ACAGTGTACGGTTGTGTTTAGGGTTTCATTGAGGGTTTGCCGAACCTCGCCGAACCACCCCTCATTGCAGAAACCGGCTTGCGGTTTAGGGTTTAGGGTTTAGGGTTTAGGGTTTAGGGTTTAGGGTTTAGGGTTTAGGGTTTAGGGTTTAAATCCTAAACCCAAGGCCCTAAACTTTATTAAACTTTATGAATTCCAGAACACCACAACCATGAGCCTGAAATCCTACACCCTAAGCACGAGGGCTCCAAAACCATTTTGAAACGGATTGGATCCCTGTCGGTCGACGCTTGGCAGTTGAACTGAGGGTTTAGGATTTGGGGGTTTCTGGTTTTAGGGTTTTGTGTTAGGGTTTATAAACTAGGGTTAGGGCCTTAAGGGTTTTGTTTAAGGATTTAGGGTTGAGGTCTTGTCAAGACGAGACCGCTGCTAGTCTGTGTATATAGGCTGATGGACCGACAAACTACATGAGTACTCCCCTAATTCTGCCCACAACTCACCTCAAAGAGTTTCAGCTTGAGATCCTGCAGCATCCAAACAGGTTCATTGGCCGAACTTACCTGTTACCTCTGCAGCCCAAGCGCAGAACGCCCACAGGCTTGGGAGACAGATGAACCCGGCGACACCATCGATACCTACAGACATTCCTTTTAGCCGCCGCACAACGCAAGAGTGCCCCGGCGCATCACCATCGCAGGTTTAGGGTTTAGGGTTTAGGGGTTTAGGGGTTTAGGGTTTAGGGGTTTGGGGTTTGGGGTTTAGGGTTTAGGATGCAAGCGCCCAATCCTGCCCTAAAGTCTAACCGCCAGAACTGCAATTAGAAATAAGTCCTGGTGCAGACCCTGCTCAAGCCGACTGGTTCGTTAGAAATAAGTCCTGGTGCAGACCCTGCTCAAGCGGACTGGTTCATTAGACTGCCCATAGTCCGCATATTCTTGAGAGTGTCGGGGAGATATTATCGGTCTGGCCCTTGAAGGAAGTCGGATAAGACATCCTGAATCCTAAACCCTAAGCCCCAGACCCCTAAACCCTACCAGCCAATCAATGCCCAGATGTGTACCCTAAACCCTAAACCCTAAACCCTAAACCCTAAACCCCAGACCCTAAGCCAACCCTAAACCCTAAACCCTAAACCGTAAACCCTAAACCGTGAGGTCCACAGGTAGCATCTCTACTGCTCCCTGCCTTATCGTCAGCTCAGACGAGTTGAGAGAGTGGTGGCGCCTGGTCTGATATTTCAATTGAATTTTAGGGTTTAGGGTTTAGGGTTTAGGGTTTAGGGTTTAGGGTTTAGGGTTCGGGTTTAGGGTTTAGGGTTTAGGGTTTTCAACTGAATAGGATTTATTTTACCTTGTTGGTGAGTGTACATAGGGCTCTTGAGGAATACTGGTGAGTTTGTTTATGTTTTGGATTTTCTTTCTGCGGTTATAAAACTGTCTGAAAGCCCTGCAGCGCATAGCGACCTAGGCCTAGCAATGATAAAAAGACATGTCTGTCGGGGGGTAAATACAATACTTCGACACTGTGCGCATTTTTCGTTCCATGTCTCATCCTCATCACTACTTGGAGGATCATGGGACTTAGTAAGTAAGGTTATAAGTGCCCTAATTTGGGGTTATAAGTATAGCTACCTTAGTTATAAGCCTACTCACTAAGTCCCATGATCCTTTAAGTATTGCTACAGGTGTCGCGTTGCTTGTTGGTTCCCGCGAGGCCACGGCCGGTGCTCCTCGCAGTTATGTCTGCTAACGATAACATGAATGCCAACAGCGGCGATAGCTGAGGTGAGGACGAGCATGAGTAGCAGTAGCACAGTTTTGCTCCCTTTACCCTACCAAACCCTGGAACCCTGAGCCCTATAAGCAAAAGCAGGCGGCAGTTATAGCAGTCGTCTCTGTGACAACAGAGGAGTAGCAGCAGCTAGCGGGACAGTCTATGAGTACACTGCTACATCTTCAAGCTAGGGTTTCGGGTTCTGTTTGGGGGTTTAGGGTTTGAGGTTTGGGGTCAAAAGTGTAGGGACGCTCGACGAAGGACCCACAAGGGTGTGGTTCGATCTCCGCCGCGATCGGGCACAGGGAGTGGAACTCCGTCGCCGCCGTTGCGCAAATCTCCATCGGAGAAGCTTGCCTCGACTCAGCTAGATGCTGGAAATATTAACAGTAATCGTAGCAGTAGCAGTAGTAGTAGTA